AAAAATCTCCCACAGAAAAAGGTCAAGCGTGGCTATAATTCAAACTAGAATTCCTCGATGGGATGAGCCATATTACCTACCCAATACATGAAAAAGTCCAAGTCCTGTTAGCACCTGATGTGACAGAAATGAATCTCAGTTACTACTACACACAATCTTAGCTTAACTTCTGTCAAACTGACCGAGTTGTAGCCATTTTATGTCATTCAATTTCAACTAGCTGTGGTGGCCATCTTGAATCTGGTCAAGTGGTGCTATAACCCCTGGCAAAAAGTATGGAATCACCAGTCTTGGATGAGCACTCCTTCAGACATTTCATTCTGTAAAACAAACTCAGATCAAAAACATGATACAATAATAAGTTCATTCCAAAATGCAACTTGTTGGCTTTCAGGAACACTCAAAGAAATGAAGAGAAAACATTGTGGAAGTCAGTGAATTTTACTTTTATTGACCAAGCACAGGGAAAAAAATATGGAATCACTCAATATCTGAGCAAAAAAGTATGGAATCATGAAAAACAGATAAACAAAAGACCATTCAAAATACATCACTAGTATTTAGTTGCACCACCTTTGGCTTTTATAATAGCTTTGTCTCTGAGGTATGGACTTGATGAGTGACAAACAGTATTCTTCATCAGTTTGGTGCCAACTCTCTTTGATAGTAGTTACCAGATCAGCTGTGGAGTTCGGAGCCTTCTTGTGGACCTTTTTTTTCAGTTTCCACCACAGGTTTTCAATTGGGTTGAGATCTGGACTATTTGCAGGCCATGACATGGACTGAATGTGTCTTTCTCCAAGGAATGCCTTCACTGTTTTTGCCCTATGGCACGATGCATTGTCATCTTGGAAAATTATTTCATCACCTCCAAACATCTGTTCAATTGAAGGGATGAGAAAACTATCCAAAATGTCAATATAAACTTGTGCATTGATAGAAGAATGAACCACAGTCATCTCCCCAGTGCCTTTGCCTGACATGCAGCCCCACATCATGAAGGACTGTGGAAATTTGTTTATTTTCTTCAGACAGTCCTCTTCATAAATCTCACTGGAACGGCACCAAACAAAAGTTCCAGCATCATCACCTTGTCCAATGCAGATTCTTGACTCATCACTGAAGATAACTTTCATCCAGTCACCCACAGTCCATGATTGCCTCTCCTTAGCTCATTGCAGTCTTGTTCTTTGTTGTTTAGGTGTCAATGATGGTTTTCTTTTAACTTTCCTGTATTGAAATCCCATTTCTTTTAGGCGATTTCTTATGGTTCGGTCACATACATTGGCTCCAGCTTCTTCCCATTTATGCTTCATCTGTTTGGTTGTACCTTTTCAGCTTTAAAGACAAATGGCCTTAAGTTGTTTGTCTTAATGCTTTGATGTCTTGCTTGGTCTACCAGTACGCTTGGCTTTAACAACCAGTCCTTGCTGTTTGTATTTGGTCCATATCTTGGATACAGCTGACTGTGAACAGCTCACACCTTTAGCAACCATGAGTGAAGAGTTACCTTCTTCAAGAAGTTTCACAATCCTCTCTTGTTTCAGGAGACATTTCTCTTGTTGGAGCCATGGTTCTTGCYACTCCACTTCGTCCAGCAGCCCTCCAAGGTGTCATGACTGCAGGTGTTTTTAACAGAAGACTAATGAGCAGATCTAATCTGAGGCAGGTGTCCATTTAGGGAAAGGAAATTGACTGGGTGTGTTCTTATTTTCTACCTCCAATTTGAGTGATTCTATACTTTTTTCCTCAGAATTGAGTGATTCCATATTTTCCATATTTTTTTTCCCTGTTCTTGGTCAATAAAAGTAACATTCACTGACTTCCACAATGTTTTCTCTTCATTTCTTTGAGTGTTCCTGAAAGCCAACAAGTTGCACTTTGGAATGACCTTATTATTGTATCATGTTTTTGATCTGAGTTTGTTTTACAGAATGAAATGTCTGAATGAGTGCTCATCCAAGACTGGTGATTCCATACTTTTTGCCAGGGGTTGTAGAAATTAATCAATTGGATGTACACTAAATGAGAGTTTTATTCTAATTTGTCCTGACACAACCATAAATTACATTATCACCCAAGGAAAAAACAGCCTTAATACAAATAGTGTCCACAACATTTTATAAATGAGCTTGAGGACGTAAATGTGTTCAAATTTGACATAAAAAATAGTCTTGATTGGTCCTGCCAGAAAAGGAAGAGTGTGTTTTTTSACACACTTTGATCACACAACGAAAACTCAAGAACACAAAACTGTTCCTTAATTGCAAGTGTCAGACTTCCTGATTTTAARCCGTCATTATCTGCTAAAGGTTTGGAAGCTGATGTCTACGACTCCTGACATGCTCACAGCRCAGCAAAGACAACACAGAGAGCAGAGGCTATTGTTCACTGCCGGGCGCGGCTAAACAAACTTGATCGACATTCTGTAACAGCACAGTGGGAAAGGTGTGTTTTATGCAACACAGATAAAACACGCACAACACTACTTTGCAGCGAGAAGGATCCTCTTCCAGGGGCATATATATAAATATAAAAAGAGCTTTTTGAAAATCAAATTAAATCATCTAGTTTGGAAAAATTAAGAGWAAAACACTGGCGTCAGCTTTTGGCTCAACAGCCAGTCGTTTTATCTTGTGTTCACAGAAAATGATTATGAGCAGGGATGTAAATGCAAAAACAGATAAAAGTGTTCACAGTTTTTTTTATTATTTTATTTTTTAAAGGCAAGCTTAAAATAGCACCACTTCAACCAAAGCTGGCGTGAACCCAGTTTTAACTGTCCGTGCATTCGGAGAGTGACGCAGCAGAATCCTGAAAGCACCATGATGAAATGTAATTACGCGCAATTTTGATCACTGGGAGACGAGAGGGCCAGCTCCACATTTTATCACAGATGTTTGACGATGACTCACAGGATGGGTGGGGGGAGGGGTGAAAAAAACAACAACCTGTTCACTCAATGGGCAGAATCAGAGAGGAGGAAGATGAAGTACTTCAATCAGAGCCTGAGATAAGACAGAAAGCTGCATGATAAAGAATTTCTGCTCCTGCTTTAAGGGTTTTGYTACTGCTATTTGAATGATTCTTCACAACACAGAATTTACCACCAATATAAAGACTTTGCCCAGTTTTTGTTGTCTGATATGATGTTTTGGGTTGATCTAATCTAATAATGTTTTGTAATCATGTTGAAAACTTTGCTTCACTGTTTGGGAAGTAATCAAAGTATTCTTCATGCCGGGAGTTAAAAACAAGCTGCACACAAATAAAAAAAAGTACCTGCACTTTCTTTAGCAGAGCCACTGGGACTGACAATAACTTACAGCCTATATTGTGTTTGTCTAAATCACCAAGTTCAACATGGTTTAGTTTTGACAAAGTGCTTTTGTTTGCAACTATTTCTTCAGCAACCATGAAGCAAGAAGCAGTGTGCAGGACAACCTGCTGCAGAAAAACTACAATTTTTTAGTTTTGCACAAATTATTTACGATCATTTATGGACTCAATGTGCAGGATCTTTTCAACAATGCAATCAACAAACGCAACTTGTTTAACTGTGTTGACATTTTGTTCAGTAATGTATTTAGTTTGTTGTAAGCTTAGTTATTACTGTGCTGGTCAGTAAAATTAAGTCTGCAAGAAGGCYTTTATACTGTTTCCTGTATAATATCAGAAAACTGCTCATTTAGAAAATACGGATGTTGTGCTCGTTCCTTTTCCAGTTGGTGTGCTGTGATCTTTATAGATTGACTCTACTTGCTCCGCCATCCGTCAAAAGTAGGATACAATCTAATTTTGATGGATGTGCTGTGCCCATGCCACCACCCTGYGCCRCCCAGCRCATGCAGTGTAAATGCTCTCATGGTTTATAATGGGTGTGTTTTTMCTGCGGAGATCGTGCCGAAGCGGCGCAGAGTGTACGCAGCGTGAATTGGGGGATAAAGTTGTTTGGTATTAAGGAAACATGCAATTKTGATTTAATATTATTGTTGAATATTGCTATGATGATGCTGGTTCTCACAAACAAACATGTTTTGTTTTCACAGTGGTCACGACTATCCACAAGTCAACCATGGGATTTTAATAACGATTAATATTTTAATACAGTTGGTGTCTGCAATTTATTTAGACTTTTCTTCCTATATTGAACACATGGATATCACAAAGTGATATATTGTGCAGCCCTCACTTAACTTATTGCTTGTAAGTTGGGTTTTTTTCCCCACTGATATTTCAGCTTCTGAACTAAAAGATAGTAAAAAAAAAACACTTTTAAAACCCCAAAGTATCCTCCAGTATGCAAGGAGTACAGATTGAAGCTACTAGAATAGTGGACCACCACTGTGGAGCCTCATGTTTAACGTAGAGATACTCAGGACCAGGTATTTAAAATAAAATTAAAAATTAAAAAAAGTGCTGGACTTCAATAAAAACGGAGAAAAACGCTCACTTCCACTGGAAAGTAGGAGGTCACAAAGACAATCCTTTTGTAAAACAAACTGCTTTTTCATCTATTTTCCTCTAAAATGAGACAGTAACAAATAGTTAAAGTGAGAAACTTATTAGAATCTAAAAACCATATTCCTTGATGGATTGCACATCCCCCGCATCTTCCTCTGGGYTGACTCCTAGAGGTTTTCAGTTGTAGATACAAAAATATTATTGGTGTCCTGGAAGAGGTGAGTTTTAGGTCCTTTTTTCCCATAGCTTTGGATACAATAACACTTTTATTTGCAACACAGAAATATAAATAACTAAATAAAATAGTTAATTAAAGTGGCTTCAATTTTCAGACCTGGAGGCCTCATTTATCCTGTTTGAAGCRGATGTCTGTGCATTTCAGTTTATGTACAAATATGAGCACAGGGATCATTAATAATGACATTTTCTATGAAGTCTGATAGTGTCCCMGCAATTACACAATAATAATAACAGGCAGACCTTCTTTTAGATTTTACAGAATCCAGGCAGTCTGGAACTGGACGTATGAAACTCACCAAGCTCTCTGGAGACYGGAGACACAATAGCATTTTCTCCTATCTTTGACACGGCATCGAAGTAGGCTTTTCCAGCTAAAGTCATTGCTGCACGAGAAAAGAACGAGACAAAGGTCACGAAAGAGGAGAAACTCCAGGATTAACTTGGTGACGTCACTTTAAAAAAGTAATACTAAAAAAGGGCGTGCACGTGCGGCACAGAAGGCCCGAATCGACAGGTGTGATTGTGATTGTGATTACCCGAGACAGATCTCTCGTAGCTCTTCCCGAGGTTGACCAGGTTCCTCAGGTTTGGGTTGAACTGCTCCATCACATTCTGGAACAAGAAGCAGGGCTTTATTGTTGGGAGGTAGGAAAGTATTAAAACCATAGTTTGCTCGTCACTTTCCTGTTTTGCTTTGCTAAAAACATTACTTTTTTTTCAAAACGGAGAACTGACTGTGAATAATAATAATAATAATAATAATGCTATCATTTCAGTGGGCGGAGGAAGAGAAAAATGCAAGTGCAAGCGAGTCTTGCCACCGCTCTAAAAATATCATCACGTGAGAAGAACAATAAAAACCTCTCAATCTTTAACTTGACCTATGCTGCCTGTAAAGAGCAAAGTCCCACACAGAGTTATTTGCAGCGTGAACTTCATCGTTCCTGAAAAAAATAAAAAAAGTCCCAACAATCAAGTTCTCCTCCCCTGCCTCCTCCATTCCTCTGGGCACACCCTAAACAAACAGAACAATGAAGGTATTCCTGCTTTTGATTTCCTGTCTCTCTCCCGCCTCGCTCACTTGACAAACGTCAAGCTATGACTCTTGGTGCTGAGATTCAATCAGAAACGTCACCCTCTTGACGACTTCAATTCCTCTCACAACCAAAAGATAAGGGAAGATAACCCTTATCGCCTGCAGCTGTGTTAACTTGATTAGATCTGACTGTGGGGCTGAACAAAAATGACAAGTCATAAACAAATTACTGATTTAATCTCTTCAAGGTGTGCTGATAAGACAAAAGATGATCAAAGCGTTGGTTCCCAATGTTGGGATCACAAAACACAAATGGTCAGGAGATGATCTCCATAGAATGGGAGAAAACAAAAAGATCATAGGTGGATATTTTGTTATAAAATCAAAGAAAAAACTGGTAAAATCCTTTTTGAAAAATGCAAAAATGTATTTCTGCCATCTTTAAAAGAACTTAAAGAAGTTTACATGGTTCAACCAACTGTTATTTTGAGGGTCAGAAGCTGAAATGTTTAAGAATTTCTGGATTAAAGCAGGTTTAAGTGAGATTTACATGTGGGGAAAAGCATTAATAGTCCAATAGTAAGGTATGATTTGAGTGTTTTAATTATTATACAAGAATATATCTGCTTTGATTATAACTCTTTATATAACTCTTTCTGCTATGAATGTGTTGCACTGCAAAAACTGTCCACCTTACCAAGTTTTAAAATCTTATATTCAGCCAAAAAGTCTTTCTGATCTTGTTTTGAGACTGATTTACTAAACAAGAACTGATTGTGTAAGAATAATAATCTTGTTTTCAGAATGCGTAAGATTATTTGTCTTGTTAGCCTGAAAATTCGACTCAAATTAAGTCAAAATTTCTGCCAATGGAGTAAGAAAATTTTACTTGGTAAGATTCTTGAAATACTTGATTTGACTCATTTTTTTCTTATTTCAAGAATCTTACCAAGTAAAATTTCTTACTCCATTGGCAGAAATTTTTCACTTAATTTGAATCAAATTTTCAGGCTAACAAGACAAATAATTTTGCACATTCTGAAAACAAGATCATTATTCTTACAC